AAAGCATTCTTACTTTACAGCATCTTTTCACACCTGCCTAAAACTTTTGCACAGTACTGTAAATGTTATCAGAAAACAATGGCTTTTTGTTTCTGTGTGATAGAATCCAGTTCATTGATATAGTGATTGATAAGACTTCAGATAGAGAACCACTGCTTGAGATCATTAATGAACAAGTTAAAAATATATAAGCTTGAGTAGAATGGTTGGAAAACCCAGTGTTTAATGCCTCCTGGTTTACAAATTGAACTTGATGGTAACTGTCTACCCAGTATATCAGATTCTAACTTTATTTTGGATGATTTCAGTGAGACAGACTTTTTTTAAAGAAGTATTTTTGTACTTTGTTAGAATACCAGCTGTATTTGAGCAGAAAATGCTTGTTCAAGTGTCATATATGATATGAGTGTTTAGAAATACAGCTGATGCTTTTCCTGTACTGCTTGCAGCACTGAAATGTGGACAGGAGAATAAATATTTATTTATTTAATAAATGTGTATGGCTGCCCATCTCAGTTGCACAACTCTGGGCAGCTAACAATTAAAACCCTGTTAAAAACAATATACTAAACTATAAATAACATAAAATAGCCAGGTAAAAACATATAGCAAACATTCACTTTCAGTACAGTTAAGAAACGGGCTTGCTCACAGTACCAGGGCTCCAGGCTCGATTGCAAAACCAGGTCTTCAAGGCTTTGTGAAAAGCTAGCAAGGTTGAGGCTAGTGTGATCTCCGGAGGAATGATATTCCAGAGGGCGGGCAACAAATGCTCTGTTAGAATAGCCAAAGGCCATCTTTTATTTACAGTTTCTTTTTTTAATATACAAAATGTTTTGAAGAATGCGAAAATTGAATATTCAAAATGAAAGCTGATTTAAGTTGTATAATAAATCCACATTATATTCTGATAGGCTCAGACTAGGGTGAAACTGAATTTTCTGGACCAGATTGCAAAGTTCTGGGAACTCCAAGGATGCACGCTGAAAATTCCACATGTAGAACGAAAAATTCTAGATTTGTTCCAGCTTAATAGGGTAAGTTGTGCATGTTTATTAGATGAAGACATTACAATTTTTGATGAAAAACTAATTTAGAATAGTTCTGAAGGCCACTGAATGGATATATTTTCTCGAAATAAAGGTTCAGTTCATGGTGTCATCCTTGTGGTGACTAGGGACATACAGTATTTTTTTTGCCATGGACAAGGTGATAACACAGTGCAAGTGAGGCTTTATTATATGTGGGATTTTCATTTTTTTAATTGGTTTTGGGAATATATATTGGTTCTTTGTTTTTAAAAATGACATTCTAGAGTTTATACAACAGTTATGTTTTATATTTGAAAATGGTAAGGAATTGTACCTTTTGTCACATTGCCAGAATTCAGTGGTGGGGTTGGAGAGTTCATACCTGGTTCAGAAAAAAAAAGGGAAGGGGGGCTTAGGTATACATAGTGATTACTTAAAACATTGTTTTTTTGTAATATATCTGATTAATATTTTAAAGTTTTCTTATTGATAACTTATAGCTTATTGATAAAGCAAAAAGCTGCATACTGAGACAAAATAGTTGCATTTATTAGCTGTATCTTTTGGCACTGTTTTCATGTATACACATAATTGGCTACACGGCTATTTTTATTTTATAGCTAGTTGCAGAGGAAGGTGGATTTGACTTGGTTTGCAAGGACAGAAAATGGACCAAAATAGCTACCAAGATGGGATTTGCTCCTGGCAAAGCTGTGGGTTCACATATACGTGCTCACTATGAACGCATTCTTTACCCTTACAACTTATTCCAATCTGGAGCTAGCCTTCTGGTAAGTTCTGCTTATTTAGCCCAGACTTTAAATCAACTTTTTCCCATTCTGCTGTAAAACATTTCAACAGTGCTTTAAAGTACAAAATATTTGTCCTTAATTTAGATGTTTTGGTGCTGGCTGCTGAACTCTCAAAGTGATACATAATTCAGTGGACTTTTGGAAATTTCTATAGGATTTTGAAGATTTCCATGAACCAAAAACACAACCTCACTATTTATCAAGAAATTGATGTTTTATAGTGGCTATTCTTATCCATTTGAAAAGAACAACTGAATTAATGGACTTCTTCTTCACAATTGGAAGGTTGTCCTTGGAATAACCTAAATCTGTTGCTGGTCTTTAGAGCTCTTTGCACTGTATTCTACAGTACATATTTTTCAGTATGCAAGTTTTCATTTATGCGTTTTGAGCTTGTTTAGGTACCTTCTTTATTTTCATTGTGTAGGCATAAGTACCTATTTTTCCTGCTCTCAAATGTGAGAGTTAAGTGTAAAAGTAAACTTCTGAGATACAAAGTAGGTCTGATATCTCTGAAATAATACAGTGGTACCTTGGGTTACGAACACCTCTGTTAATGAACTTTTCGGGTTACGACCAGCTCCAGCTGCAAAAACTTACCTCGGTTTGCAAACTCCGCCTCGGGTTACGAACCGGATCCGCGGCCATTTTCCGCCCCTGACACGTGGTCCGCGGCCATTTTCCG